TATTGATTGTTGTCTTAGATTTTTGCTTTGTGTTAGGGATTTGAGTTGTTATAGACATATACTGCTTATATTCTTATCTATGATGATTATCTGTTAGTTTATGAACTCTGGAGATAGATTAAGAGCTGACATCTACTTGAGTATCAGAGCTTAATGCATGTGTGGTTATGTTGTACTAAGAGATCATCAGTGCGATCACATAGTTGCCTTCTATGTTGTTGAGGAGGTAGAGAGATCATTTCCTTGGTGATAGAATCGGTCTCTTAATTTGGGTTAGAAATGACTTAGGTTATGAGTGATACATAGTGACATTGATGTGTATTTTTAGGTTGAATGTAATTGGCCGGTAGATTTAAGTCTGTGATGAGTAGATTATATGCAAGCTTGATAAGTTCTTCCTTTGTTTTTACTTTTATTTACATTTATTTTATGTTGATACTTTTCTTTTCAACCCATTTATCCCCAAACTCATTAACGAATGATTTTTCGAACGAAAATTCAATAATTAATCTCTGTGGACATGATAAGATATAACCTAAATATCACCCGGTAAATTAATAACTTACTTTTTTCTTGCCGCCATATACCGCATCAACAAAATGGCACCGTTTCCGAGGATTGGTTCTATTGTTTTCGCATTGCGATAATTCTTTTGTTTTTTAGTTTTGTAGATATCGTATATATTGTATATTTTTACTTGTGTATATTGATACTTGTATATATTTACTATACTTATAAATTTTTTATATCATTGTTTGTTTCCTTTCACATTTTCTTGTGTGTTGGTTAGGAATAAACAGATGGAAGCAACTTGGAGGAACATTCTTAAATAACAGGCGTCGAGCTTACAACGTAAAACAAGCATGCTTTATCATTTTCCATTTTATTAGTTTAGGTAGTGTGTTGATTATTGTTTAAAAAAGTTGAAATTGGACTTGTTCTAAATTCTTATATCTTCACTTTTTAACTTGTTTATTTCACTTTCATTTCTTTGTTTTTGTTGTTGTTGTTTGGACTCGAGTTTTGGTTCAATAGCTTGAGAATAGTGAGGTGATTTACCAATTTTGATCGTTTCTACTTGCGAATGTGTGGTAATGATTTTGTTAAAGTTTTGTACATGTTCGAGGTGTGTGTTTAACGATTTCTATACTTTAGCATATTCATGATACTTAGACTTTTTTATAATTTTTATGCCAGTCATTATTTTATATACTTGTTCATTTGTGAATCACTTTAGTTCTTACTCTTTTTATGAGGTATGTTTCCATTGTTCACATATGCTGGAGGCCATAATTCTTGTTTTAACTGGATTTTATTATGCTTAATCTTTTGTTTTGTGGTGATTGTATTAATATAAGAAAATGATCAAGGCATTTTTGTTTCATTTTGAGCATAACTACCTAGCCAAAAAGTCAATTTACCTTGGGAGTGTGTGATCATTAGTAAGTTCTTTGAGATTTTTGTTGATATTCATGTTGTTTTTGCTAAATACTTGTCTATGAGTGTTTAGTTCACCTTTTTGCATGGATGTTGATTCGTTGTTTTCTTGAACCCTCAACCATTCCTTTAGTTTGAATTTTTACCTTGCCTTAGAAAGTATGGAGTATTAACTAAGATGTTGGTTGAATTCAAGTTGGAGAGAAAAATGATTGTGTATTTATTGGTTGATTGCTATGAGGTTGAAAAGAAAAAGAAAAGAAAAAAAATGTGAAAAAGAAGTGATAGAAAAAGAAAGAAAAAAATAGAAAAAGCTTTGAAAAAGAAAAACAAAAAAAATAGTATGTAATAATATTGTGTTAATAAGTGATGTGTGTTGGTGTGAAACTTGTGATGAAGAAGAATTGTGATTGGAATTATTTTGTTGAAAACTTTGTGGAAGTAATTACTCCTTTAGGTTTAGGAAAGTTTTTGTTTCGATTATCATTAGGACTTATCACTTGTTTGTTTACCCGACCATATTATAATCTTGAAAAGCCCTTGAGATTCTCGATTTTATATTTTCAATATAAATTTTTGGATGAATGCATAATTTAGTCTATTGTTTGCAAGATTGTTGGATGAGTGAAAATACCCCATTTTTGTGTGTTTTTCATCTACCTATGATTGTGCTCGTTAGGTGTGATTCATTTGAACTAGTATTGTTTTAGAATGTTTGGCATGATTTTTGTATTTAACATTTGTTTCGTGTTTATGTTATCATCGTAGTTTAGTGGTAAGCGTTTACTTTGTGTGAACTGATTTTCATTTGAATCATTGCATTTGTTTTCCGTTTTCAAAACCTATTGATTCGTGATTCTTTGATTTATCAATCTTTTTTCTTTGGGTTATTTGACTTTGTTTGAGGATAAACAGTGATTCATGTTGGGGAGAGTTTGATAAGTGCAATACTGTTGTTATTTTATATATACTTTTTGTTGCACTTATCGACTATTTGTTGTTAATATCGGTTGAATAACCCTGCTTTTTGTTGTAAATACGTTGAATTGTGTTTTGTGTATATATTGTATCATATGATTAAGTTTTGTATATGTTTTGTAGGTATTTGAGCATTTATGGAGCAAGAGGAATAAAACTCCAAGATGTATTTTTGGATCAATAAAGAAATAAGGCCAAGATTGGAGGCCAGATGAAGTTATACAGTGGAAGCAACAAAAGTTGTTGAACTGTCATGGATCGCCGAGCGAAATTTCTGTCACCGGGAAACAGTAGGCGAGAAGACCAATTTTGATGTTGCCTCTGCCTTGCTTCGCGTCTAGTCGCCAGGAGAAAATAAAGAGAGTCGTCGGGCGAAGCATTGTATCATCGTGAGACATTAGATATTTGTTTCAGTTAAGGATGTGGCGGCGTCTGGGCCAAGTATATAGAAGCCATCACGGGGCGACGTGTTTGTGTCGTCGGGCGATGGTTGCAGATCACAATTTTATTATATTTTACTTTTAATTTCATTTGGAAGTGATGGTTTTGGGGGTGATTTTTGTTCTCCCAATTCCATCCACCTCATTTTTGTAGTGGATTAGCTTAGATAACAACATTAGGGCTTTGCTATTGGATGATTGGAGGTGGATTTCTCATTGATCGGCACTGGCAAACTGGATGATTTGTGGTTTATCTCTTTTCCTCTCTATGTATTTCTCTTTTGTTGGGTTTTGTATGTATTTTACTTTGAACTGATGCATATTTGTCGCCCATGGCGTTATATTAAACTTGCTTTACAAATCTTTGTTGATTGTTGTCTTAGATTTTTGCTTTGTGCTTTGGATTTGAGTTGTTATAGACATATACTGCTTATATTCTTATCTAGGATGATTATATGTTAGTTTGTGAACTCTAGAGATAGATTTAGAGTTGACATCTACTTGAGTATTAGAGCTTAATGCCTTTGTGTGGTTGTGTTATGCTAAGAGATTATCAATGCATATACATAGTTGTCTTCTGTGTTGTTTAGGAGGTAGAGAGATCATTTCCTTGGTGATACAGTCGGTCTCTCGATTTAGGTTAGAAATGACTTAGGTTGTGAGTGATACGTAGTGACATTGATGAGTATTGTTAGGTTGAATGTAACTGGTCGGTAGATTTAAATCTGTGATGAGTAGATTATATGCAGGCTTGATAAATTCTTCCTTAGTTTTTACTTTTATTTACATTTATTTTCCGTTGATACTTTTCTTTTCAACCCATTTATCCCCAAACTCATTAACGAATGATTTGTCGAACGACAATTCAATAACCAATATATGTGGACACAATATGATATAACCTAAATATCACCCGGTAAATTAATAACTTACTTTTTGCTTGCCGCTTAAACCGCTGCAATATCATACATCGTATGTGTCGACATATAGACATGTTTTTCATGTAAGATCTCATTTTTATTGCATTGTGCCTTTTCCAAACATGTCCTAAATTCATTCTAAGACCCCTAATACAAGGTGCACATAAAAACTCATAGATACCGTTCAATATACATATATTCTAAGTTTATCCTAGTTTTGACATCATACAAAAAATCTAATGGATAAGTGCACTCACATACTCCCCCTTTTTATGATGGAAAAACTTGTGATGATTCATTTCGTGTCTTCATGAAGGTTCCCCCTGAATATGAGCATCCTAACTTCATTTTCGCATATGCTTCTCCCCCTTTGACAATATCAAAAAGAGACAAAGCACAAAAGAGAAGTATCATTTTTCACACAAATACGAATATCACACAAAGGGTTTTTGCAAAAGTAAGAACGTGCAACTACATATACCCATATACAGGAGTGACGCAAATATTTAAACATAAATAACAAGACAATACCAATCAATGTTAGAACAACTTTGTCAAATATTATCATAAAAGGCACAAGCAAAACACAAATCATAGTTTCACTTTGAAGAAGTGATAAAATTTGTTAATACATAGACCAAAGTAGCAAGGCATGAAATAACATAAAATGTAAATGATTCAAAAACATAAAATGTATGACCAAAGACCTTAAACCAAAACACCTAATACTCGAAATCTTCAAAAAAATTGATGACCTCTATGACCCCTATGTGGTGGCATTCCACCATGATTCATAGAATTACGCATCTCTTGATAGAGCTGTGTGGACTCCTCATGATTTTGAACACACATGGCCATTGTGCTATTAATCCCCATTTACATAGCAGCATTGGTGGTACCTATTTCACTTTGAATTGCAGAAAAATACTCATTAGAAAAAGAGGCCAAAAAAATCAAAATTAGTATCATGTGCAGTCAAGTGATCTTGAACCAGATGAAAACGTTATTCTTGAGCAGCCTAAAAATCAACCCTTTAACATATTTCTTCATGATAACTCACATTTTGCTTCACTTGCATGTTTTGAAGCATAACAATTAAAGTAGACTCATTTCCAACAGTCCCAAAATCATTACCACGTGAACCAAAATCGTGGTCTTGAGAACTTCCATCAAACTCTCTATAGCCATCACCTTGTTGTGTCCAAGAACTTTGTGACCATTGTCCCTATCCTTGTGTTTGCTCATGGTATTGATTTGTTATAGCATTTATCCATGCTTCATCTTCCTCATGGTTGACATCAAGCATATTCACATCATTTTGATTAATGCCACCAATTGGTTGCTCATCAACCATAGAATTATCAACATTTTCTTCAAACACGGCTGGATTATCAAAATTATCGATCCTTCTGGTAGATTCCTTCAGAAGGTAGTAGTACACATTTATATTTTTATCCCAAAAGTACCTCATGTTTGTCAAGGTGTGTTGGGTGAACTCCTGGTTCGATCCCGGTGAGATGTATTATAGATTTGAAACCTCAATGTTGAAGTACTTGAGGATCTTGGCAATCATAGAAGTGTAACAAAAAGAGGTTCCTTTATTACACAATTTGATGAAGAACATACGAGCAACATATATTTGAGTATCACAACCTAATTTATTTACCATAACCTAAGTTATCTTTATAATTCATTCACCTAGTCATTAACCTAGGTTTATCTCACTCATTATCATGGTTTTAATCCCTTATTGTCCATTCAATGCAAACATATTATAACATAAGTTATAAGGCACACATAAGCAAAGGAAAGTATAATCCATTCACCACGAGCAAACATGCAAATTAGTATCATCTATCAACATCATTAGATAAAACTTTAAACAAGTTTTCTAACATGTCCGATTGTGACTCATTTCGAGTTACAAAATTGAAGATACGCTATTTTTAATGCTGCTAGAATTTTCATGACAGTAGATCTCGCTGTGCGAGAAATCTAATCATTGAGTGAGCCTGACAGACTAAAATTCGCAAAATATCACTTTTAAACCCCTCTCCTTCAACCTTCAACCATCCAAACCATACCCATTCATGTTATAAATTTCCAAGCATTTCACACCATGAAATTAACATTATTCTAATGTATTCGACCTCATGTCAATTGGAATTATGATTCTCATTTTATGGTGGAAATAGTAACACTAACCATTTTTCCAAGTATTAAAACCCTCGCTTAGCAATCTTGGGGCAAGATCCAAGTGAGGCGGGGCAGAAAGATCAAGCCTCTAGAGTTCCCCTTCCTCGCTTAGCAAGGCCCAACGAGGCCTCAAAGCAAGCTCTCGCCTAGCGAGTTCCTAGCGAGGCTCTGGCGAGGTAAGTCAGAATGTTAATTTTCATCAAAAAACCATGCTCACTTAGCAAGCCCATCCTTCACTTAGCGAGGATAGCATAAAAACTTTTGCTTCCAATTGCTATTATGCTTGCTTAGCAAGTTGTGCCGTTGCTTAGCGAGGATGACCTAATTCTGCAAAAGGAAAAACATGATAAGGGAAAATGAATAACACAATATCACAAAACATCATATTGCACCCAAAAAAATATATGGGGGTCGTGGAATGGTACAAAAAGAAGCATACTAAATCACAAGAATGTCATGTAATAGCTATAACTTCATGATTTAGAAACTACACATAAATCGTAACCACTTTCTCATAAAATTTCTTCAAATTGCTAACTTTACCTAGAATCCACCTTGACAAATGAAGATGTTTAGAGATTTGAGATGAAATCTTGATGATTCAAGCTTCTTCTTTCTTCTTCCAAGATTTTCCTATTTTCCCTCTTCTTTCTCTTTTCTTATTCTTTCTCTTTTTTCTTACTAGCAAAGTTGGAAATGAAAGGCAAGAGATAGAGATGAAAAACATCTATGTTGAGATAGTTGTCTCTTAGTACAATTTACTATTTAAATATTACCCAAAATATCATTCTTTGACTAATTAGTAAAGTTTAAGTTAAAAGAGTAAGAATTGATCTCTTATGAATTTACTAATTATTCTATTTATTTCAAGTGACAACATCTTATAACTAAGAGAGCATTTAAGAATTAAATTTATCTCATCTGACAAATAAAAGAAGCAATTAAAAAGGATATGGGATATTACATAAATTTATAAGTTTACAATTAGGTGAGGTAAATAGAGTAACTTAACTCAAAATTTAAAACTGGTTTTGGTTTTTTTTGAAAATTTTAAAATATAAAACAAAAAACCACCCCGAACTGGTGCTACACTATCCTTTTTTCTGGTTAGTTATGCACAACCTACACCTATCTTTTTGCTTCTTAATTTCGATTTAGTTAATGAGCTTTTCTGTTTTCCACTTTTGTAGCCTATCTTAGAAGCCTTAAATCAATTCACCCCATGCTTTAAATCAGTTTGTTTCTTACCTCCAAAATTTACAGATGAAATTGGAGAAGAGATAGTAAGAAAAACATCACCATATAGTAGCACTAGTGCAGAAATGACTTTTTACATCGGGTGAAATTGACTTTTTACATCGGTTCTGGGTCCGATGTAAAGTCAGGCGATATAGTAAATCAGGCACTTTTAAACACAACATAATTAACTTCCCAAATCTCTTCAATCACCCCAAAGTACGATGTAGATGCCATAACCGGGTTTTTATCTTTAGCACTAGAGAAGTGCATGGACTCGGCCACAATCATTACCCCACTATTTTGCATGGTACTACGGTCATCCTTTGACTTTGTATAAAAAGAGGTTTTATTAATATCATATCCACTCCAAGTTATTATGTTACATTTAGGCCCGTAAGACAACCACTTATTTGTATTAGAAACACTATCTTCATTAGCAATTCTTTATTTAAACCACTCAGAGAAACTCTTATTATGCTCTTTTAACAACCCTCTTTAATTCATCTTGGGGTACTTTTTCTTTATGATGCTTTTGTGAGCATATAAGTAAGGTTGAACTTCATCTATGTTATTCAATATATACAAATGCGCTTGAACAACCACATCAATACTTAAGCTCTTGACTTTTAAACCTTGTGTACCCACACCCTCATATCTTCCATCATGACGAGACTTAGGAACCCCTACAACATCCACTCCTGGAAAATAGTTAGAACAAAACTCAATTGCTTCTTCTGCAATGTACCTCTCAATAATCGATGCTTTCAGACGGTGTGGGTTTTTTGTATACCCTTTTAGAATCTTCATGTATCGCTCTATTGGATACATCCACCGTAAAAAAATTGGACCACATAATCTAATCTCCCTTACTAGATGAGCAATCAAGTGAACCATAATGTCAAAAAATGAAGGAGGAAAATACATCTCTAATTGGCACAAGATAACTGCAGCCTCATTTTTCAAATCGTCTAACTTTAGTGGATCAATGGTTTTACAACAAATTTCATTGAAAAATAAGCACAACCTAGTTATAGTCTTCCTTACGTTGTTAGGCAATATCCCACGAATAGCCAATGGTAGTAGTTGTTGCATTAAGACATGACAGTCGTGAGATTTTAAGCCAACTAATTTAAAATCTTTAACTGATACAAGCCTCTTGACATTTGACGAGTAACCATGCGGCACTTTGATACTTTGTAAACACTCACAAAAACTTGTTTTCTCTTTTTTAGACAAAGTGTAGCAGGCAGGAGGAAAATATGTCTTGTTACCTATATATTGTGGAGTTAACTCTTCTCGTATACCCATCAAACCCAAATACAAACGAGCATTAATACCATCTTTTGTCTTGCCTTGAATGTTGGTAAGTGTTCCAATTACACTATCGCATACATTTTTCTCCACGTGCATCACATCAATACAATGTCTTACATCAAGACTAGACCAATATGGAAGATCGAAGAAAATCGATCTCTTTTTCCATACATTTTTCACAGTAGATCGTTTTTGGTACTTTCCAAAGACAACATCAAGTCCCTGTTGTCGCTGATAAACTTCCTCTCCAGACAAGGGCTTTGGAGCAACATCGTGCTCTTGTTCCCAATTGAAAGCTTTCCGCAATCTACGATATGGATGATGACGTTTTAGAAATTTTCGATGCCCGAGATAAACGGTCTTCTTTCCTTTTTCAAGCTAATGGTAACAAGTGTCTTTTTCACATAGAGGACACGCATTATGCCCTTTAACTTTATACCCAGACAAATTACCATATGCTGGAAAATCGTTGATGGTGCAAAACAACATGGCACGCATATTGAACTGTTCGCCAGAATACGCATAAAAAACATCCACCCCTTCCTCCCACAGCACTCTTAAATCATCAATCAGTGGACTTAGATAAACGTCTATGTCATTTACTGGTTGTTTTGGGCCCGATATCATCATCGATAACATAATATATTTACGCTTCATGCACAGCCTAGGAGATAGGTTGTAAATCATCAAGAGAACAGGCCAATAACTATGGTTAATACTCAGATTACCAAACGGATTCATTCCATCAGTAGCAAGTCCAAGTCTAAGGTTTCTCGACTCTTTGCCAAAATTTGGAAACAAAGAATCTATTTTCTTCCATTGCAAAGAATCAGCTACATGACGAATTTGTCCATCATATTTTCTTTCTTCTGCATGCCATCTAAGATTCTTTGCGTCATCTGCATTGGCGAATAATCTCTTGAACCTTGAAATTATTGGTAGGTACCATACCACTTTCGCAGGAGGACCCTTTTTGACCACCTCATCATCAATTGATTCACCATCTTTCTTTTTGTAGCGTGAAGCCTTGCACTTTGGACAATGATTATACTTTTCATACTCTTTTCTGTATAATATGCAATCATTAGGGCATGCATGTATCTTTTCATACTCCAAACCCATTGAACACAATATTTTTCTTCGCCTCGTAATAACGACTTGGAATTACATTACCTTCTGGAAGCATTTCGGTCAACAATTCAAGCAACTCGGTAAAACTTTTGTCAGTCCACACATTCTTTGCCTTCAGATTAAATAATTTTAACACGACTGACAGACGTGTAAATTTTTTGCATCCCGTGTACAATGGTTTATCTTTGTCATTGCATATAGTATCATATGCATGTGCCCTCTTAAACGAATCTTGTCCAATATCACGCATCATGTCTTCTAGAAGATCATCCATTTCTACACTAACATCATCTCTTTGAGACACGTTTGACTTTGCTATTACTTCATCGTGCCATATCCATTTTGTATAACTTTGACAAATCCCTACACAAATTAGATGATCCATGATTTCTTTCTTACTACGTTTTGGTTCTTTATTTGCACAACGAACACATGGACAGAGAAAAAGCGTAGGAAGACTTTTGTCAGCATTACTTTCAGCAAACTGTAGAAATTTCATCACTCCATGTTCGTACTCGTCACTTAATTGATTAGCTCTCATCCAACTACGATCCATAACTATGTTCACACGGAGGAAGGTCTGACGAACGGTGTGCCCGCGGCTGCGCTACTTCACGGAGATTCCGAGATTGCAAGTTGCGCTGCTTCGCGGAGAAAGAAAAATAGAATCAAATTTCAATGGCAAGGCGATAACTCTATTAAGGTTTCAAGATTCAGTTGCTAATTTGCTATGGTTGGTTGTTGGTTGGTTGGTGTTATTGACACTATATTAATTGCATTTTTAATAGACATAAAAAAGAACGTGACAATAATGGTGTCTAGCTAGTAGCCACAAATTCTTCAAGTCGTTCTTTATCTATCTCTATCTATACAGTATTATATCTACATTATCAACAATATATATATATATATATATATATATATATATATATATATATATATATATATATATATATATATATATATATATATATATATATATATATATATATATATATATATATATATATATATATATATATATATATATATATATATATATATATATATATATATATATATATATATATATATATATATATAAAACCAATTGCAGAAACTTTTTCTTAGATATCTATTCTAACACCTGATGTCAATGAATCATGTATTATATATATTGTTATAGATTATAAATTGTTTTTATAAATAATTTTGAAGAATTTCAAAAAATATTATAAATTGTTTTGATAAAATCAATTTAAATATCATGTGACAAAACTTATCTCGTTAAAAATATTATAAGTTAAAATGAATTCAAACAAAAAATTTGTACATAATGTACTGTAGCA